CATCATTCCAGAGCTTGAACCGCAGCAACAGCCCCACCCCCACTCCCACTCCACCTGTGGCTAGGGCTGCGAGAAAACAACAAAAGGAGACGGATGAATAACGAACAGAGGTGTTGGGAGAGGGATGGGGGAGGCGGGAGGGAACAGAAAGGGACAAGAGCGGAAGACGAATAATGAACACCCAGAGCGTACATTCTTTAAAATGACTCTGTTCACTCTATGGGACTCACCCACGTGTATACACCAGCAATTCACTCCACACGCGTTTGCAAAATAATCAAGCCTATTGAACACCCAACTTTTTCTGAGATTTTAACCCTGATTGAACATCCCCAGTACACTCCACAACCCATGACATCACGTTTCTATAGTTCAAGTATAGTTTTCACAACTCAGACACTCCAAGAATCCTGAACTTTTCACCCACTCTCACACCCTGCAAGCCCTGCAATTCCTCGGCCCATCAAACTTATCCACTCTCACAGCCTACAAGCGTTCCAGGACAAACCCACTGCAGCGACCATACATCATCAACTTGATACAACTCACCTGCTCCCACACACTGCAAGCCCTGCATTTCCTAATTGAGTCTTATCAATCTCACCTGATTGAACTACCTGCCAGCCACCTATCGCGGTTCCATGACCCTCACCCACTGCAGCGATCATACATCATCAAACTTGATACAACTCACCAACTCCTACAGCCTGCAAACCCCCTGCATTTCCTCGTCAAAATCGAGCTCACCAATTGAACTATCTGCCAGCCACCCATTACGGGTTCCATGACTCACACCCACTGCAGCGAAGCGACCATACATCATCAACTTGATACAACTCACCCACTCCATGATCCATTCCCACGGCCTGTATATCCCTGCATTTCCTCGACTTATGAAACTCACACACGCCCACCCACAGTTGTTCCAGGGGTACGAGCACTCACCCACTCCCCACTCTTTCTCTACAGTATAAGCGGAGGAGACACCCACCCGCGTGAGTACACGTGGCAGCACTCACCGACTCCCACGGCCTGTAGCACCGAGATCCAGTACGTGTCGTCCAAGCCCGCGCGAGCTGCCACGTGTCTCCTCCGCGCTGCCGTCAACGACGGCGACGATCGCGGCGAAAAATGCGGCGAACGCGCGCCGGAAAACGCTACTTGTCCGGGCTGGGCGGAGGAAACCAGGGGTCCGGCGACAAAATTCCCTGTCGAGCCGCACTTACGTGACGAAATCACGGCCGTTATTATCCTATCTTTCACCGCGCGTTGGACGGTGACAGCGTGGTCTATCGGTCGTCGATTTCTACAAGTGTCAAGCGATTGGCTGCCGAAAAAATCTGTCCGCAACGAGAATGCAGAAGGAGCTGCAGCGACTCCGACGTGGCATTTCATCGTGGCAATGGCGAGTGCCGCGTCGCACAAGGCTGGGCGGATGTAGCCTAGTTCAAGTATGTTTCGAGAATCGCCAATAGAAACTGAGCGACAAGACAGGAGTGCTTTACGCGACAGTCTCTACGACGAGCTGATCCTATGTGGGTCTTGGTGGAGATAAAACTAAGGCAGGAAAAAGAAAGGCGTGTTGTATTTGCCGATACCCTACCGAACCAATGCAGATATCAGATTGACCGTTGTACAACGGGTAAAATCCCATTGAGCCGCAGTCGGACGAACTCGTGAGATACGAGGGTTTAAGAAAGCTAGATGTGAGGGGCAAAACTGGCAATCTCCATGTTCATAAAGCCTGCTCTCATTGAGAGTTGAACTCAAGACCTCCCGCTTACTAAACGGGTGCTCTAACCAACTGAGCTATGAGAGCTGCATATTTGAATATAGGATAATATTCATGATGTGTCTCAAGCAACGTTCAAGAGCCTCGCGTCCAAAACTCTCTAGAAGATTCTGGATTCTATAAAATCCTCCATCTTCTTCGCCATTCCTTGTCTCTCATCACCATTTCCAAAGAGACCCCTGAACCTCGCGTGCCAAGCACCGTCCCGTTCTCTGCGCTGTAGCGAGCTGACCTGACCTGCCCGCCTCGACCCGCCGCCACCCACCATGGCGACGATGGAGAAGGTGCAGATCAGCGGCGACGGCGTCGAGGTAAGCCAAGCGATTTACTAATTATACTCGGGAGTGAATCTTGAGTCAGTCAGGCATTTGGGCATTTTTCCTATCCACTCGGTCGTGCACGCTTTAGGAAGGCCGAATTTTCTGTTTGGTCCACGCTGTTCTTTATTTGTTTATTTATTTTTGGGCGGTCGTGCGCGTATGTCCTGCAGACGTTCGACGCGTTCGTGGCGGGCGAGGAGGGCAAGCCCGGCGTGGTGGTGGTGCAGGAGTGGTGGGGCGTAGACTTCGAGGTCAAGAACCACGCTGTGAACCTCGCCGCCAAGGGATTCCGCACGCTCATCCCCGAGTGAGTGGCGAATAAACATGATGGCTGTTAATTCAAGTGATTCTCGTTTCAACTTGAGATGCGATTCCTGATCTGACGAAGCCAGATCGGATGTGTTCGACGAGTACTGAGGTGTTTCTTGGTTGCGATTTTTTCTCGTTCCTTTGCCGTCGCAGCTTTTATGAGGGCAAGATGGCTTTGCAGGCCGTGCAGCATTGTCAACCCTAGTCGCTTAATTTCCTTACTGCTTTCTTCCCTAAATCTCTCCTTCGTTCGATTGCAGCCTGTACAAGGGCAAGGTGGCTCTTGAGGCCGCTGAGGCGCAGCATCTGATGGACGGCTTGGATTGGCCGACTGCCATCAAGGAGATCGGCGCCTCCGCCAAATGGCTTCTGGCACACGGCTCTAAGAAGGTAATAACCTTATTAAGCATCTCGAGTATTTTTTTTTCCATTAGCATGAAGAAACAAATGACACCATTGTTTTCTTGTCTTGTCATACATGTTTACTATTATTATGATTTTCTTATGCATTCATGCGTTACTAATTTGTCGCATTGTTTTGTGTGTATATGAGTCAAAATCGCCTCCTGGTCCACATTTATATCGTGCGACCTCCTTGCCATTGTGTCTTCCGTGCTTGTTCCCCACAGGTCTTCGTGATCGGATTCTGCATGGGTGGCGCGTTGACTCTACTCTACTGTCGATTGCCAGCCGCTTTTTGTCTCTCTTTTCCAACAAGTCTTTGTCGCTGTTCTCCTTCCCCACAGGTCGGCGTGATCGGGTTCTGCATGGGCGGCGCGTTGACGCTACTCGCCGCGATCAACGTCGATGCGGTGTCCGCAGCCGTGTCCTTCTACGGCGTTCCCGAGGCAGCTCTTAAGGAGGATGCCAAGGCGAAGGTCCCTGTGCAGGCGCATTTCGGCGAGCTCGACGGCTTCAAGGGCTTCTCAGACGTCGACGTGAGTTGCCTTTAGCTTCCCTTCAACATTTTTTTTGCATTCCGTCATCATTCGTTTACCTTGACATTGCCTGCGTTCAACCTTTTAACTGTCACAGGCACTTGCTCGCGAAAGAGTGCCTAATCCTTCTCTTAATCCTCCGTCTCCTACCTATGCCCCTAACTCTGCTACAGACCGCGCGTGCGTTGGAGAAGCGTCTGGAAGCTGCGGGCGTGCCGCACGAGGTGCACATTTACCCCGGTCAGGGCCACGCCTTCGTGAACGCTTCGCCAGAGGCGAGGAAGCGAAAAGAGGGGATGGGGTTACCAGGTCACGACGAAAAGGCCGTGGAGCTGGCGTGGTCGCGAACCGTTGATTGGCTTAACAAGTATCTGTAAGGAGGAGCGGGGCGGAGAGGGGGGTGGAGAGTAGAGAATGGCAGGGAAAGGAGGGGAGAAAGAGGAGAGGAGGGAGCGTTTAGCAGTTTGTAAGATTCCAAGGAGAGCTGGAGATGGTATATTTCAAATTAGCTGTAAATAGGCGAGATAGCAGATTCATGGTGCACCTTTAGGTGCACTGTTTTGAGCGGAGGTGAGGGCTGAGTTGGGTTGAGTTGGCAATTTGCGTTGAAGGAGCAGGTCTAACAGGAAAAAGGGAGGGGAAGAGGTGGATTTAGTATGGAGGGTGGCAAGTGGAGGGAGTGGAGGAGCGGATTGGAGTGGAGAGAAGAGGAGAATTATAACAGGAGGAAGGTTCAGCGGGCCCGGCGAAGGACCACACTCGGCCAATCCCATTCAGAGCAGCGTGATTATATTGGGGTGCTAGCGGGCGGCGGCCACTCTCTGGCCTGCCCCTCATCCTGGGCTCGTGACAGTCGCACTTCGGTGTGACTGTAGCGATGCCTCACGCATGCTGAGCTGTCATCGTGAGGAGTGCCGTGCGAAAGTCCCCGATCGACCTGGTAGAAAGTACCCGCCCGAAAGGGCAGAACCCCCCGCATTCCCTCCCCTGACAGTTGCTTCGGGCAGCTGTGGGCTGAGATGGGCAGCTGTGGAAATTTTCTGTGGCTGCCCTGAGCTCTGCTGCTGGCTGTATGGCCGGCGCCAGGGGCAGGAGCGGGAGGAAAGTAGGTGCAGCACAGGCATGTGGTCAGTGGGGTTACCACCCACCAACAGAACGGGGCTTACTCTTGCCGTGCCCGCTTCCCTTTCCCTGTCTTGTACCGCATGTGATTAATTCGAATGAGAAAAAAGGAGTGGCAAATAAATGTTCTCAAGGATAAGGTATCTGAGGGTGGTAAGGCAGAACAAATGCAGTAGAAAGGCAGAACATTCTCCTTGAGTTGTAAGAGAAGCGTAAGTCACAAGCCCTTCTGAACACCCAAGGTCACATTAGAGTCTATCCTCATCAGAGTTTAATCTGATTCTGTAATGATTTGAGTAGTTTTATACAGTAAATCCCCTTGTTATGGGTAGTAAAGAGAACAAAAACTCCCAACTATTGATAACTCAGAAGAACGGGATTGAGACACATACGGTACATCAAGGACATCAAGGCAGGAATGTAGTGATTTCAGAAAAAAAACTACCCACACCACAACCAGAATTGGCTAACAAAAATCACCAGCTGGCAAGTTTAATCAGGGTCCCTGAATATCAGCAACTAGATAGGACCTGGTGTAACAATCATCCCAGGAAAAATGTCCCTGATCAACACTGCAACATCTTCAGCATCCGTTGCAATTTTCTGGAGCCACTTGAGGCCCTTGAGCCATTTGACACCCTCAGCAGTGATTTTAGCATCCCACAGACCCAACCTCTCCAGTCGTTTCATATTTCTGAGGTGCTTCATGCCGGAATCAGTCACCCCTGGAGGAAGTGTGAAGGCCTTCAGTGAGGAGAGAGCAGTCAAGTGCTGCAGCCCATCCTCCCTCACCCCACTGCCATACAGTATGAGACGTTCCAGTGAAGTCAGTTTGCCCACATACACCATGCTGGCAGAGGTGATCGAGACACACTCGCCAAGCAGCAGAGTCGTGAGTGCAGGAAATCCCTGCAGTTTCGCTACTCCTGCATCGGTTATCTTGGTGTTTACCAGATCAAGTGAACGAAGATTCGTCAGGCTGGCAACACCGTCAAGAGCTGCGTCAGCTATGGCTCTACTCTGTAAGTTCAAACCTGTGAGACCAATGAGAGAGAAGAGCTGTGTCACCCCCGCTGCAGTGAAGCCGGAGGAGTTATTGAGGCTGAGCCACGTGAGAGATCGCAAGGTGGCCACTTGTGTAAGAGCAGCATCGGAGAGGTAGACATTGCGGAGGTCCAAGTTAGTCGTGCCTGGAGAAACTTTGCTCCACATTGTCATCAACGCCTGCAGCCGCGTGCAGCAGCAAGGCCAAACATGGAGAGGGAATGGCATACGCGGCGCCAGAGAGACCGGATTGTACAACGAGGTTCAGGAAAATGAGGTTCGGACAACGAGGTTCGTACAACGAGGTTCGGACAACGAGTAGGACACCCCCGACATGCGAGGTTTACGTCGTATACAATTGGCATGCATTTTGACTCCGGAATATTCCGTCAAACGAATCCCTGCTGGTTTTCCAGGTTGGTAAACAGTAAGAATTGACCATCCTGAAAATTACACTCACCTCCCATATCTTGTTTCCTCCAGCACATGTTTCTTCCAGCGCTTCCACTCGCGTCCTCAGTCCCTGTGTAGTGAGGTTATTTCTGAGGCGCCTAAAAGAAAACCTTGTATTTTAAGGCGCCTCAGAAAGTGCACTCACCTCCCATATCTTGTTTCCTCCAGCGCACGTTTCTTCTAGCGCTTCCACTCGCGTCCTCAGTCCCTGCACCTCATCCTCCTCATTATTTTCCTCCTCATAATTTTCCTCCTCTTCATCATTTTCCTCCTCCAGCTCGTCTCCCTCCCTTTCCGCCGCATCCCCCTTTCCTTCAGGCGCACCACCAAGGGCAATAAGAGGGCGCACAACGGAAGGAGCGTCCGCCATCTCCACCTCCTTCCCCGCCTCCGCGTCGTCCCTCTTCCGCCTCTTTTCCTCGCGCCTCTCCGCCCTCGCATGCTCCCCCGCGCTGCCCTCCTTGCGCTCGTCGCGGTTCTTCTCCGCGCGGCCGTCCTTCAGCGCCGCGAGCGCCAGCTCGACGTCGTTGATGCGCGCATCCGAGTGCGCCGCCGTCGCCTTCACGTACGCCACCTCCCTCATCCGCGCAAGTTCCGCCTTCAGCGCGCCCATCTCCCCGCGCATCTCACTCGCCTCTCCCCTCGCCACTCCCACCTGCGCCTTCAGGTCCTCCACTTCAAACGAAGCTAAACTATTTCCCACCTCCCCCCCCTCAATCTTTTCCGCCAAAGCGCCCGTCGCCGCCATCCCCTTGAGATGGGCCATGGCGCTTCGCATTTCGGCCATGTCGCGCTTCAAATCAGCCATGGCGTCGCCTTGCTCCCTCAGCTTCGTTTCCAACGCCGCCACGCGCTCCCCCACGCCGCCCGCCATCTCTTCCAGTTGCACCTTCAGCACCATGCCGTTCACCAGCCTCAGCTCCATGTCCCGCGGTGTCGTCGCCATTTTTTTTTTTCACAAGGCTGTCCAGCCTTAGGCTGGAAATCCGTTTGGTTGTACACTGCAAAGCACGCAAGTATAAGCAGAGCAACTTCTAGATTGGAGAAAGGTGAAAAGGGCGAGAGTGAGTTCACTACGCGAAGGAAACGTGAAACTTCTTCAAATGCTTATGGCAGATGTGTGGCGTGTCGTCGATCAAAATTGCTGGGTCTTTGGTTTTGGGCGTGTGCTACTTCGCTTTGTATTTGAGCCAGCAGATATTGAAATGAACGGTTGGATTTTGGGCGGATGCTGTTAGGGTGCCGACGTGCGACCCTTGCTGTGCCCAAGCATATGCGATTCGACAGGTGGCCAGCGTGAACCGCGGGAAGTGAGTGAGCAACCCCACCCCACCAAGCCAAAATGCGGTGGAACTGAACCAAACCATCCCAGCTTGAAATCAACAGTCAAACTCCGTATTCGCCTTGACTGGTCCTGAAATAAGCATGCAAGCATGCATATTTTGTGCACCTTTTGATAGAAGTATGATGAATATGTACTAAGAGCAAGGGGCAGCTAAATTTCTTGTTTAAGAGCACAATTTGACAAAAGGAGCCATGCTTGGAATGTGCTACTACATTACGAGAACAATTCCGGTTAGGTTAGCGAATGATCACATAGAATGGATAATTCAAATTGTCCCAGACTTCGAGCCAAATCTACATGACCTCTAGTATTATGAAAACCATCTTGCAAACATGCCTTGATGCTTCCCACTATGTTTCAGTGTCACTTCATATTCCTGTAATTGCCGCAAAAACCCAATGTTGGGCTGCACTATTGGTCGGCACTGCCGCACGTGGGATAGAGCTGTTCGCAGGTCCCACCCCTTGGTCTTCATCATATATGCAATCACTATCGTTGCACTCCGTGACATGCCTGGGCGAAACAACGCAAAGAGGTACATACCGGAACAAGGGAACAAGAAAAGGGTGTATGTTGGGCTGCACTATTAGTCGGCACTACCGCACATGAGATAAGCTGTTCTGAGGTCCCATCCCACCCCTTGGATTTCAATCACCCATAATTCCTGACTCTTGGGAGTTTGTCACCCAACCACTGCCAGTGCTTAGCTACCATACCATGCACTGGCACCCCGACCGGTTTTAGTCGTGTTTTGAGTCGACTCAAAACACGACCCACTGCCAGTGCTTAGCTACCATACCATGCACTGGCACCCCGGCCGCTTTTACCACCTTGTCGATCATGTGAAGCAGCCATGAAAGTGAGCTACAGACAAGATATTAGCCATGTGTTGAGCAAGTACGGGGAGAGAAGGAGCACCCCTTCAGACTCTCCATCACACACCAGGAAACCACCCCCTCACCTGCCAGACAGTGCACCAGCACGCCTCCTGCCTTCCTGCCCTCCTCAATAGCGTCAAAGCACCCCTCAAAGTGAGAGGTCAAGTCAACGTGCATGGCATCATCAGCCATGTGCACGAGCGTGTATGAGAAGGTGTCAGATTGTGCACAAGCGTACAAGAGAGTGCCTCACCACCACGCCTCACCACCACGCCTCACCTGCTAGACAATGCACCACCACGCCTCACCTGCTAGACAATGCACCACCACGCTTCCTGCCTTCCTATGTAGAGTGTTTTTGAGAATTCTAAAAAATACTCTACATCGCCAAGGTGTCAGATTGTGCACAAGCGTACAAGAGAGTGCCTCACCACCACGCCTCACCTGCTAGACAATGCACCAGCACGCCTCCTGCCTTCCTGCCCTCCTCAATAGCTTCGAAGCACCCCTCGAAATGAGAAGTGAGGTCCACGTGCACCAGCGTGCATGAGAAGGCAACGGTGGATGGTTATCAATCAACCCTTCCTTACCTGCCAGGCAGTGTTTTGAGACGTGTCAAAACACTTCTTCAAACACGTGTCCACGTGCACCAGCGTGCATGAGAAGGCAACGGTGGATGGCTATCAATCAACCCTTCCTTACCTGCCAGGCACTGCACCAGCACGCCTCCAGCCTTTCTCCCCTCCTCAATGGCTTTAAAGCATCCTTCAAAGTGGGCAGTGAGGTCCACGTGGCATCCGCCACGTGCACCAGTGTCTATGAGAAGGTGTTGGGGAACATGAATGGCTGTATCTCACCTGCCACGCAATGTAGCATCCAACCCTCACCTGCTAGACAGTGCACCAGCACGCCTCCAGCCCTCCTGCCCTCTTCAATGGCTTCAAAGCACCCTTCAAAGTGAGTAGTTAGATCCACGTGCATGGCATCCGCCACGTGCACCAGCGTGTATGAGAAGGTGTCGGGGAACGGAGGCGCGCCCGTGTCATTCGCTACAGTCACAACACTCTTGATGCCCAGCTCCAGCAGCGCTTCTCTACGTGCATGTGATTGGGCGAGCCGGAATGAAAAAAAACATGTGGGTAAGGGTGAGAAAGGAAGGATTTCCCTGCCGTTCGCTCAGTCACAATGCTTCTTAACCCCAGCTCCAGCATCGCTTCTCTGAATGTGATTGGGTCAGGTAAGATGAGACAAACATGCAGGCATGGGTGAGAAAAAACAGGAACCTGTGCCACTCGCTACAGTCATAATCCCGCTTCATCCCAACGTGCTATAGCAGGTGTGCATACTTACCATTTTACATAACCACCTGTTTGAGGCACCTGGTTACCAGGTAACCCGGTTACCTATTTGAGGCGGAGTTAAGGCTTCCCAGGTATAACCCTTCGTCGATTCTATCCGGCTTTCGGTACATAAACACCGAGGAAGGTGACGCTGTGAAGAGCACAATAAAATGCCCCGTGGTTACTTGGTTACCTGTTTGAGGCGGAGTTGAGGCTTCCCAGGTACAGCCCTTCATCTATTCTATCCGGCTTTCGGTACATAAACACGGAGGAAGGTGACGCTGTGAACACGACGGCTCGCGGTTGCAGGGGAATCTGGAGCTCCGGCGTTCCCTCCTCTGCTTCTGCCGTCAAGCCTCCCCCAGATAGCACCTCCTTTTGAGTTGGCTCGGAAATGGTTGCGCCTCCCCCCGATAGCACCTCCTTTTGAGTCGCCTCATTAGTGGTTGGGCCTTTCCCCGATTGCACATCCTTTTCAGTTGCCACAGTATTGGTTGCGCCTCCCCCGTGTAGCACCTCGTTTTGAGCTGCCTCAATACTGGTTGCACCTCCCCCGGGTAACACCTCGTTTTGAGCCAAGGCGACGGCAGTTGCGCCTCCCCCGGATAGCACTTCCTTGAGAGTCGACTCTATAGTGGTTGAGCCTTCTCCCGATTGCATGTCGGTTAAAAGGTAACTGAGAATAATTAGTATTCCTCAGCAGGAGGATGCCAGAGCTGCTACAGCCAGTTTTAGAATCTTCTCAGAACTGATTTTGCGCAGCAGACGAATGAACGGTGTTATTGGAGACGATATCTGTCAAATAGTTGTGGATGATGTCAGTAAGACGTTAATCGCCAATCGACGATAGTGAGAGAACGTTTACCGGTGAGCGTAGCGATTTCTCCTAAAGACAGAGGTTAAATCAGTGATGTTACACCAATGAGCTGTCATATGTTACAAGTGGAACTCCGCTCCTGGAAGTCCTATCTGTCAGCCTAGTGGGTCGACAATAATCAAGTAGTAAATTTTATTTCACTCAAATGAGTCGGTTTGAAAGTACTATTTTAGACGGCAGTCGCACGCAATCGTCGAACGTGTCTAGCACGAAGAAAAGCTCGTCGCACACGCGTCGCAAGACTTGTACGACTGCGGTCTGGAAGTCCGCAATTATAAGAAGAATGAAACTGAGGGCTTGCACTTAGTTTCGTTATTCGTGTTTTACTTAGGGGTGGTAGATTGCCACCGCGGCGTTGGAACAGACGTTGGGCGATACAGGGTGCATCACCGCGCCTCAGCTCCTCTGGTACCCTTTAGAGTTAGTCTTACATAAGCGGAACTCGAAACTGTAGCGACGTCATACGGAAACTGTGCAGAAGTCCTGCGAGGTGCTTACCTAAACGTCGATCACAAATGACACATAGCAGAGTTGTTTCAGAGCGATTCGGGTCTGTATGTGACACTTGCAGGGACCAGACGCACATCGGGCATGCAACGAGCAAAACAAAACCCGAGGCTAAAAAATCCAATCATGGCCTGGGAAACGGAACTTCAGGAAATCCCACTCCATTTATTATTTTCGCCACCCTAGATTTTGCCAGAGCTTTGGAAAACCTTGAGCAGAATTTGTTCACACTATATCGCGTTCATTCAAGAAGCCAGCTCGTACCTTCCAGACAATGCTTGACGTTTAGTCTGGTGGTCATACGAGGCGGCTACCCGCTGACTTCCGAAGATTCAATAGCATCGTAGGATCGTCGTTTGTCCTGTCGTAGCGAGCCTTTACAAAAGGCAATCGCATTTCCTGAACCTGGTGGAACCTTCATAAGTGCACGATTTGTGTAAAGAAACATTCAGTAAATGGCTCAGGATGCGACGAATTCGGACGATGCCGGGGGGATCGAGGTAGCAGACGATGCGTCTGTGCCGGTGGTGGTGGAGAAAACGGGAGAGGGGGTGAAGTTTGAAGAGCATCAGCTTCCCATCGACATCGCGTACAACAAATTCGCAGGTACCGCGTTTCTCGTATGACTGGATATCAATGGCTGTCGCCGAGTCACCGACGGACATTGATTTTACCTCTCAGTGCATATTCGCCCATCCCAGAATCGCAGGTACCGCGTTTCTCGTATGACTAGATAAACGACTGTGACTCCGACTGACATTGGCTGACATTAGCATGACTTTTCTCATTGTTTATGCACGCAAATTATCATTTGTCAGTGTACATCCCTTGACTGAATAACCTCTCTCCCCTGTCCCACACCAGACTGGCTGGTGGATAGGAAGCGGGTACCAGCCAATTGGAGGCAACGAGTAGCAGCCATTCAGCAGCGAATCACGAAACTGGTTACCACATTACCACGTCACCATGATCCCTGGC